CCTGGTAGGTAACTGTGTTCTGCAGGAGGCTTTCTCCTTGAATTACCTAAAATATCAAAAGCCCTCTCAACATTACGTACCTTGAAGCAGGGCTTTCTGTTTGTGGCTGCCCCTGTTTTGTGGGAAAATATCCCTGATGAGATTCAGCGGGTGGCCAATATTTGTACTTCCCAAAAACATTTTTGTTACAACAAGCTTTTCCAGCTGGATGAAAAGATTTCAGCCTTAGGTGTTCATTGTCTATTGGTTTTAAACCTACCTTTGGTGTTTTTTGTTTTGCTTTTAAAACTATTTTAATTGCTTTTATGGTGTGCTTGAGACTCTTGTGAAAGGTGATACATAAATTAAAAATAATAGCAGCAGCAGCTGCAACAACAACACATGGTATATACTTAGGTCTGCAATACCCCATCTCTCCCATTATGAGGGGGGGAAGGTATACTATATATGGGCTCAGAACTGTTGTGCTCATGTTTTACTCCTGTCTTGAAATGCTAAACTACAAAAACCCAGTAGTAGCCATTGGAACAGAATTATATAATTGTCCTTGCAGATAGTGTAGACAGTAGAGATGGGCTCAATATATCAATGAAATAGTCATTCAAATACATCCACATATTATATTTGAATGGTAGGGGGGAAAACACATACACTGCCCCTGCTCTGCAGAAACATTATAACCAGCTTTAGCCTTTCCTGGTTACTTTTCATCCAGATTTTGACCCAATGGCCTTATTTCCTCCCTCAGGAAGCCACACAGATCTGTGCCCATCAGGCCATCTAATTATGTTGCTTTCTTCAGCTTCAGAAAGAATCTATGGCATATGCAAGATCTAAGGACTATTAGACCTTGTCGGCCTGACCAAAGTTGGCAGCACGCTGTGTGCCATGCTAGATATATTTCAGTGATCAGAACTCAAACCTCTAATATAGTTTAAATTCATTTTGAATATTTGATCTTTCATTTGACCTAAATAAAAGATGAACATGGAGATTTAAGCAGGCCAACAACTTGTTTTTCTCTTTCCTGATTAAAAAACCCAATCCTCCTGTCAGACTGGGAATATCCCCTAACTCACCCAGTTTAGGATATTCCACCATTCTTCAGCGGGGTTTCTTTTCCTTTCAGCAAAGTTAGCGGCTCACGTATATGTCAAACAAATCTTCAATAATAAAGAAAACTGTAACACAATAACATACTGTCTGAGAGAAGCAAAAACAACATCGTGAAGCAAGAGTGACATTTGGCTTCTCTAACTGAACTGAACTGAACACACACTGAAGGGAAGGGCCGATTCTGGAGCAGAATGCACAAGCCCCGCCCACCAGATGCCAGGCATTCTACTATTCATATTAGGCCCCAATGTTTTCCTTGCAGTCGACAACTTGTTCTCTTTCCTGAGTGCATAATTCACTGGGAAGTTCTTCTCTGGAAGTTCCTTGAAGATGAAGAGGAGCTCTTTGCAGCCCTCAGTCATGTGAAGAGTAAAGATACTGCAGGCGAAAGAGTCTTCAGCGATAGGTAACAGGGTGCTTTTTCTCACATTAAAACAAGTTCCCTGCAGTCAAACAGCCACACTTTGAGTGGCTTAGCGTACAGGTAAAATGCTGGGCCCCAAATCATGTATGCATTAATGTAGTCATATTTATTTAGATATTTATACACCACACTTTCATAGGAAGTTTAACAAGGCAGTGTGCAACATAAAACCACAACAATAGCAGTAAAAACCATCTATAACATATGAATGAAGACTGCTTGGTCATAACTAATCTTATTTAAGATTCCAAAGCCCTATGTCAGGGAATGGCAAGACTCTGACAAGTGTGTGACAGAGGCAAGGTGCCCAGAGATTGACCCAGAGAGGAGGGCAGTGATTTATGGGGCTTGGTGTCAGAGACAGAGGTGCAGGATGTATGGGGAGTAGAGGAAGAGGCTGCTCAGATGAGGGGCAGGCCGGTTGAATCCCCACCATCCCCTGCCCTACTGTCTCCTAGAACCAGGAGGGGCTAGATGATGGAACAACAGGGACAACTTCCGTGCATGAGAAGTCTCAGGTTGCACTTGCACACTCCATCAGACAAGAGTACATAAGCCTGTACAGTCCCACTGTTGTTTCAACTTCCCCGCCATCAATGTACTACACCTAGTACGTCCAGTACACCTTAAGAGCTGCTGTGTGTGCTTTGGTCCCTAAAGAATGAACTATCATTTGTTTGCCTTCCTTGGCTGGGTGTGTGCAGGACAGGCTGTCTGAACAATACTATTTCTAAAAAGCATCTGAGGGAAAGCAGGGATGACTGCTATCCAACTTCACTTGTTGTTGTTCTTTATTTGCATCCCACCTTCCCCCAGAAATGAGACTTAAGGCAGCTCACAAAAATTTAAACAAATGTGGGTAAAACACAGAAAGCTAAAAAGCATATAAAATATAATAGTTCAAAAGTAAACTATAATAGAATTTCATGTTTATGCCAGGGGAAAAGAACTATGTCTGATTGTACCAGTGCATTCTGACTGCACTGGCTGCATGCAACTCTCATGGATCAATTCCAAGGAGGTCCTGGAATCCCAGCAAAGTTGATTTGGACTGAACTGATTACCGGTAATCAGTTCCTCTGCATTGAGAGGCATCTGGAATCCATGAAAGGGGACACTGTTAAAACCCAACACAGGACTCCAAGCACAATGCCTACTGATAGCTCTGTCAGAGACCCTGAGCCAGTGCAGCTGGTGGAGTTTTGTCCCAGCTGTTCCCTAAGGAAAGACTGCTGATGCAAGTTGAACTTCTGCCTGTATTGTAGACATTTTGTCAGTCCCCAGACTCTGGTCAGTGAGAAACTGGCAACCCCCATTTTAATGGGAATAGAGGTTGCAGGGCTGAGACTAGACTTGCTTTGCTGCTGTGGAGATCAGTGCTCGAGAAACCCAATCCCTAATGTCTAGACAATTCCTTCCATGTAGGTGCAAAAACGAATAGAAGACAAAACAGAGCCCTTTAGAAAACCAAGGGGGTGAACATTACTCACCCAGCACTACTTTCTAGGTACATTAAACAGGTAGAATCAAACCCACTACAAAACTGTGCCCCCAGGTTCCAAAGTAGCCAAACACCCCAGAAGGATCTCATGGCTGGGGGTACTGACTTTTGCTTTCCTGTTTACTTCCTAGTGTAGGTCATCAATCAATGTGACCAAGGCTGTTTCTTTCTCAAACTTAAACCTAAACCCAGATTTGTTTCTGTATCTTCATGCAGTGAGAAGAGCCTTCTTCATCTGTGAAATGTCCAAGGCTATGAAAACTTAAAATATAAGGGTGGAAATTGGGTGGAATTCTGACTGCTGTTCATAACTGGGAATGATATAGAGGATTAGTTTGAAATACAAAAACATACAAGTCAGTTACCTAAGGTCTGTACAACATCAAATAAAATATTTAACTGAGCATGTATAGGTTCACGGTCTTCTTCAAATATTAAAAATAAGAATCATTAGTGCATAACCTATTCTTTTCTATTCATCCCTGCAGGTATAAAGTTAGATCACACATGTTGTCTGTGAAGTCCTTGCTCTTGACTATGTTGAAAGCCAGGCAGTGAGTGAATGGGTAGCTTGGAGCAAAGACATTCTATAAAGAGTGCCCTTCACTTATCAGGTGATACACAGCATAAAGAGCAAAGTGTGTTATTGAAGTGTAACAACCCAAATGAATGTTGCACAGGTCTTCCGTAGCTTGAAAGTTTAGTTAAAGTTATAGATGCATACAGAATATTTGACAGATTCATTAAGAATTTGTGATTGGTGCCAGTAATACAAATCAGAGAGAGTTGGCTTACAGCAGCCAGAGCCTTTGACTTTTAAAAGTTCATGCTTGCTAAAGCCATCTATGAACCAATCTTCATTTAACCTATGGAAATCCACTGCCCCCAGGCCCACACCATAATTCACCTAACTCTCTGGGACTCTATGGAGAAAATGGAAGGTGAAACTTGAGTGGAATTAGTAAGAATTGAATATGTTCCTCTTCTTTCCATGAAAAATAGCTTTGAGTGTGACCAAGTGTGTGTTAGGTGTATGTAACTGGACCGACTCACTTTTGTATCAGCTCCTCCCCCATCCCTTGACCTCCCCGCCACTTCCCACTTTCCCCTCTACCTCCCAGAAAGCAACAGCAACACAACTGACTGGAGGTGACATGAGCAGCAGTACCCCACCACACAGCTTGCTATTCCTGCTGTCAATAACATGATAACTGATTTCTCCAGTTGCCCCATCCCTCCTGCACATTCCAGTAGTGCTCAGTTGTGGGATGTACAGTGGTACCCCAGGTTACATACGCTTCACGTTACATACGCTTCAGGTTACATACTCCACTAACCCAGAAATAGTGCTTCAGGTTAAGAACTTTGCTTCAGGTTGAGAACAGAAATCGTGATCTGGCATTACGGCAGCAGCAGGAGGCCCCATTAGCTAAAGTGGTGCTTCAGGTTAAGAACAGTTTCAGGTTAAGTATGGACCTTCAGAACGAATTAAGTACGTAACCGGAGGTACCACTGTAATCCATTTATGAAAATTAAATATGTATACTGTATGTATGCTGTAAGTATGTATATGTAACTCTCACAACTCTCACAAGGAGGTGGATGTAGTGTATACCCCAAACAGTGCACTGTTTTAGAGAGTCTGAATATGGAACATTTTTACATTCATGTTGAAAATATTTTTTTTGCCTCAGTCATTTTATCACATGTGGTGGTCCTGTGAAAAGGTGAAGGGTTTAGGGCAGGCTTCCTCAACCCCGGCCCTCCAGATGTTTTTGGCCTGCAACTCCCATGACCCCTAGCTAGCAGGACCAGCGGTCAGGGATGATGGCAATTGTAGTCTCAAAACATCTGGAGGGCTGAGGTTGAAGAAGCCTGGTTTGGGGAAAATGATATATAATGAATTGAAAAGGATGTTCAAATTGATAATCCCAGAAAAACCTGAACCTTTTTTACTAGGAATAATGGGGACAGAGGTCCTGAGAAAGCTGACTACCAACAACAGCAACTAGAACTTTATATGCACAGAAGTGGAAAGAGAAAGAATTACCAACAAAGGAGAAATGGCTTATGAAACTGATGGAATATGCTGAAATGGTGAAACTTCTAAATTAAGAGGACATAATGAGGAAGGTGGAATGGAGACCCCTTATGGATTATCTATCAAAATATCACCAATATGTGAAGTCATGGGCAGATTTGAAATATAAGCAGTGGATTAATGAAAGATGTAATGGTTTAGATAATGAAAATGTATATCTTATAGCTAACAGCTAATAAAAAGGAGTAAAAAATAAACACCAAGGAAAGGAGGGGTGGGAAGTCAAGAAGAAACTTTGTATGTTAAAAAATTGGATATATTGATAAATGCTTTGAAATATTGTTGGAGACTTAATAAAATTATTATTATTATTATTTTAAAAATAAGTTTTACCTCACAATAGAGATCATCATTCTTGCACAGAAAGAACCAAACCTCCAGGCTGGATTATTGGCTGTGGGAGTTTTGTCATACATTCACAGACTTGAATCAGATTTCTATGTGGGAGAAGCCATGCTTAAAGAATGGAAGTTTCACTTGCTACAATAGAAAAAGAACTAAAAGTATATATGTATATACTACTCAGATATTTGTACACACAGAGAGAGAGAGATACCACTGAGAAGAAAATCAAAAGAAAAATATAGTAGCTTGGCTATAACAGCAAGAGAGATATCAAGAGATCTGTTTTGATTGCAGAATTTCATAGTATCCCTATGAAAAATGTAAGAAAATGTATTTTTAGAATTTAAAACTGTCTCAGCAGGGAAACATGAGGCAATGTGAAAAATGTTTTCATATAAATTGGTTCATTTGATGGTTTTCACCTGAAATTCATAGTGGGAAAGAAGTGAAATTGTAATGTTCAAAGTTTACGCTTGAACCTGGGACAAAGTTCTAAATTTACTAGCTCACAAGTTCATCTGTAGTTTCAATGAAAGGCCATGTGTGTGTGCTTCTTCCCCTATTGTGGGCTTTTCCAAGAATGACCCAACTTAAATTTGGGCTCTGTTGTGAGGTGAGGTAAGCCAGCAACCTCAAGCACTGGATTTGAGGCACCTTTCAGGGCGGCAAATGTTTGGTGTGCAACACCTCCAGCAACTGGCTCTTCAGCCAGTTCCCCATTCTGCTAGGGTCTGGTATGGCCATCCAATTAGGCCCTCCTCCTCCATTGAAAATTATACCTAAGTGCTGCTTCTCCATCTCATATTGGGGTTGGATTAGCAAGGGGATGAAACAGGAAAAGAAGCCATAAGGCAGTAGCAATCTGGTTAGAGGTTTTAATATTGAGCTATAAAGCCCTGAAAAACTTGGGACCAGGATATCTGAAGCAACATATTGCCCTAAATGATCATAACAATCAGCTGATGAGAAATTCCTATGCGTAGAAAGCTCTGGTCTAAGAGGTTTCTCATGTGTCCAATGCTTCCTAGGCATGGGTCTGAGTAGTGTTTCATTTGCCCCACAGCTTTCCCCAGAAAACATGATCTTTGCCACTGAACCAGTACAAACAGCAATCTGCAGAAAACCTGATAGCTGTTTTGTCCAATTCAGTGGGTTTTCTCAGGGAGGAAGCAGCGGGGCAAACAGAGGTGTGGACAAGCCCAGACCCAGCCAAGTGTCCCTATTTTCCAGGGATGTCCCTGATTTAGAGAAGCTGTACCGGTTTCTGATTTGATCCCGGAATGTACTGCTTTTTCTTAGGACATCCCTATTTTCCTTGGAGAAATGTTGGAGTGTATGGAATTATCTGGCCACTGAACTGTCTGAAGCCAATCCTGTACAGTACAGAGAAATTTGGTGTTTCACATTTCCTTATGTTTTATAGGAACTGGAAGCTGCCCATAGTAGCTGGGCAACCCAGTAAGATGTGTGGGAGAAATGTTGGAGGGTGAGGGTATGCAAACCCTAAATTTCAGTTGCAGTGCTACATTGCAAAAAAAAACTTTCTCGTTGTCACCATCAAAAGCAGGGCACTACTATTAAAGGGAATTCACAATTGTCTGTATTTTAACTATTTCTGACTGCTCACAGGCATTGTTATACTCTTACTTTAAATGCCAAAACTTGTGTACATGATAATTGTGTTTTTCTTTTATGTGCTTGCCTTGATAAATGATCATAACCTATACTGTATTTGATTGTTAAGGCCTGTATACCAATAAAGAAAATTGAAAGCATTTGTGCTCCCAATATAGACTATACCTGGCGATGACCAGGTACTCTATAAGACGCACCAGACCATAAGATGAACCTAGTTTTTGGAAGAGGAAAACAAGAAAAAAAATATTCTGAATCCCAGAAGCCAGGACAGTCAGCAGGATCGCTGCGCAGCTATCCCGCTTGCTGTCCTGGCTTATGGGATAGCTGCGCACAGCCTCTCCCAGGCAAGGGGAGCCTTCATCCCCTGCCCGGGAGAGGCTGCACGTGGCTAAGGCTCCCCCTAGAGCCGCGCTCCCTTTAAAGAGTGTGCAGAGTGTGTGTGTGCAGCTCTTGGGGGCTTTTCCCAGAGGAGGGAGAAGGACAGCCCTTCTCCCACCTCGGGGAAAAGCCCCGAGGAGCCGCACACACACTCCCTGCGCTTTTTAAAGGGAGCACTGAGCAGAGCCTACTGCCTGCATTCGCTCCATAAGACGCACACACATTTCCCCTTACTTTTTAGGAGGGGGAAAATGTGTCTTATAGAGCGAAAAATATGGTAGCTTAGAGTGACAGATAGTGATAGGCCCAAGGTCACCACTGAGTTTCATGACTGAATAGGGATTTGAACTTCAGTCTCAGCAGATCTAGTCCTCCACATGGGATGCCATTTCAGAATTCACAAACTTGAAACATTCCTGGCACCAGTTTAGTTCCCACACTCAACATTTGACATTTTTCATTCATCTGCTCCTCCTTATTCACTTTCATATTACAAATATTGTACATACTAGGCTGCCCTTCTCCATACCCACACTACATAAACAATGGTCATCATTATTACCAATTATTACATTATAACCAATGTCATAATCATTATTTACTGCCATTAAGTATTTAGACAGATTGTCCAGGATTAATTACTTAAAGTTATTAGCAGGATTTTAATCCAACTGCTGATAAGATTTGGTACAATACAATTTGTAGAACATCTTGTCTGATGCCTGCTGTGTGCAAAAAAAAGGTGACTTTGGCCCTATAGGAAGTGGAGACAGGAAGTGTAGACAGGTAGCATAAATAGCGTGAATCATGTTGGTGCTAGAATACTATGCATTTTACTAGGCAGTAAAATGTCTTCAGACAACCCTGCTCCATCGACAGTGTATTTATCCATCTGGCTGAACTTGTGAATTTGACTTGTGGATTTCAGCCATCTCAATTACTTGGCCCTTGCTATCTCCCTTGGGTTGTAAATTCTGCAAAGAGCATTTTACCTGCAAGAACTGTATTAAAGAGGTGAGTTGTGCTAAATTCACACATGGTTGCAGCTTACAAGTGAGTTCTTTCTGCACTGGTCCAGTAATTTATAGATGAAGAAGCCATGGGTTTGGAGGCAACTTTGTGGTTCCTTTCCATGCAACTGTTTGTCCACCCCCACTGAAGGCAATGCTCATACAAGAAGAAACTGTGCTGTTTTGTCCTACCCCATGCTGTCTTCATCCTATATTACCAGAGCAAGTTGTCTAAAACCCACAGATAAGTGGCTATCATTTGACTGTAGCAATGTGCGAATTAAGCCTGAATTTAGAATTGTATTCTACACTACTTCCAGGTTTCAAGACCACCAATCTTTCCAGTTCCCAGCCTGTCATACACAGCTGCTTCTGACCTTAGGACCTGTGAGAGGCTTCAGTCCAAGCCAAACTTACTTTTCATTCCCTCATAAAAATGAACTGTGAACATGTTGCTGTGACCATTGCTTTCTGAGGTGTTGAAATAACTGTGAATTTTCCATGCTGTCATGCCTGTTCAGCCAATTCACATCAAATGCAATATGGTACAGATGGATCTTTCTATTTGCTTTCCATAGCATTATTTATTTTCATATTGGAGAACATTTTGAACTCCTTAATTTTGTTATTTTAAGGATGTCTTACGATATCTTACTCCTCCTTTTTGTAGTTGCTTTCACTTTGAAAAACAAAGGGGTCATGGCATGTACCATCTTTGACAAGTCAGAATGATTATTTCTTGGGAACTGTCAGGTTAAATCAACTTCCTCTCCTGTGTTCTGTTTCAACAAGAGTATTTAATTCCAGCACAACCTTTCCGCATTTGACAGAATGACATTGGGAATCTACTGATACATGCAGAAGGTACATCTGGAATGTGAACAATTCATCGAACCTCTGGAAGATTCCCCTCATTGTTTCAAAATTTATCAACATTATATTTATTTAATGGTAGTGAAAGTTTTCAGAGAATAAAAGCTTCACTGAATATGTTTTCAACATCCAGCTCTTTCTATTGAATACAACCCAATTTAAAGCAGTCTCTTTAGCACAGGATCACACCTATTTATAACATTTGTTTTTATAGCAATTTTACTGTCATAGGGAAAGGCATTAAGAATTGTGGTGCTTTGTGTTAAGCACTAAAAATATGCTCCCAATAATTACTTCAGAGCATGATATTCTTCCAGTATGTGCTGAGTCTGTGTATTGCTCTGAGTCTGTGTATTTCTACATTTGAACTTCACTGTTTGTCCATGACTGTGACCCTATGCAATTGCCTCCAGAGCCTATGGAGACAGAATTGGACTCACAACTGGGCTACATTGGAGGCAGTGCTTGTGGACAAAGTGGCAGTTCTATGCGGGTGTTGTATATATATGACCTCTGAAATTACTAGTGATGATGATGGCTCGAAAAAGTACTACCATCCATATGAAATTCTGGGTGACTTCTTAGTTCCACGTTCTGCATTTGAACATCATTGTTTGTATATGGCTGTAACTTTGATTGGCTTGTTGCCTCTGTATATGCTGAACACTGTGTATTAGAATACCACTGCACAGTACTGTAAATTACAGTTATTTAGCCTGTCATATATTCTTCTGGCACAGGGCTCTCTCTTCTGCCTGTGGGTCCTGTGCCAGCAGCAGCCAGTAGGAAGGGTGTTCCAAGGTGGGGAGAGACTGCAACAGCTTCAGATCACTTTGATCTTGAAGCAATCTCACTGCCATCACATTATGGAATTGGCCTCAGTTTCTAGGTGGCACAATGACCTGCCTCCCCCACAAACATATCCTTCTGCCTCTGCC